AGAGGGAGCACAGCCCTGCTAATACTTCGATCACAGACTTTTTGCCTCCAGAACTGTGTAAGTATAAATATTTATTATTTTAAGCCAACAGCGTTTGGCAATTTGCTATGGCAACCATAGGAAACCAAAGGAACGATACCTTCCTTGCCGGAGGAAGATCTTGCTCCATCCATTACTTCCTTCTCCCACATTTTTAGTCTCTCCACTTCTTTTCCGTTAGCCTTGCAATTTTCTCCTATCATAAAAACTGTCTGTGTGTGTGTGTGTTTAACTCTGTACTACTTCCTTGTTCCTTTTTGTTTCCTCTTCATTAGCTCCTGCTCACATTTCAAACTGCAACAATCAAACCTCTCTACATACCAACCACTCCATTGAAATGCTCTTGCAAAGGTCACCTGTGTTCTCATAATTGCAAAAAATCTGCTTTTCTCATGTCATTAGCACTGTGGCCTTTTCTTTATATGCTGTCTGTATAACCTTATCTTCTCCTATGGCCTCATGCCACTCATATAGATGAAAATCTAATACATTTCCAGAGTGCTAAGTACATTTAGCCAACTACCTACTGAATACATCTACCTTAATACCCTAGTGACACTCAAATTTAATATTCCAAAATTAAACTCATTAATTTCAACATCAGAAATTGGTAAACATGGTTGCTATTGGTGGTAGGCAATTCCCCATCACATTCCTACTGACATATCTCAGATTATCTTTTCTAGAATATTAGTACAGCAGACAACCTTGGAAAATGGAAGTTGTAATGAACTTGAATAATTGAATATTCTATCTTGAATCTTCTATCTTGAATAGAAGATAATGTTCATGCTTCAACCTCAAAGTTATATGTTGAAATCCTAACATCCCCTCCCCGCCATGTGATGCTATTAGGAGATGGGGACTTTGGGAGGTAATTAGGTCTTAAAGGTGGAGTTCTCATTAATGAGACTAGTGCCCCTGTTGAAAACACCCCAGAGATTTCTCTGTTTTCCTTTCTGACATACAAGAACACAATGAGAAGTCAGCATTCCCCAACTTAGAAGAACCTGACCTTACCAGCACCCTGATCTCAGACTTTTTACTTCTAGAACTATGAGAAATAGAATTTTGTTGTTTTTAAGCAATTCAAGTCTCTGTAATTTTGTTACAGCAGCCTGACCAGACCAAGACAGGTAATATCTCTATCTAGGTCAGAGGATAGATATGTTTCCTAATTAAGATAAGAAAGGTAATTTCTTCCTCATGGGCAAAGGTTGGTAGTTTTGTTAGTAGAACTATTAAAAGAGTTGGGGGGGGGTCCTTTGTGTGGGATTCATCACTCTGATGATCAGTACAGGTCAGCATTCACCTGGGCTGCTCTAGTTTCTCCAGAAGGCTTGAGGATGAAGGGGAACCATTGCAAATATGGAGCGTGTACTGCCTGCTGTGCTGAAAGTAAGCAGCTGTCTCTATCTGTTTGACTCACTGTTTCCTTATCAGCTGAATTTATGGTAGTGTGACTGACAAGACTAGCAGCTACAGCAGCCACTGGTTCTCAGAGATGGAGAGAAGAAGGGAGAAAAACAGCCAAGTTACTGCACAAAAAGTTTGATACTGAGTTAGCAGAGGCTGGAGTTGGAAATGTTTGAGATGAGTGAAAGCCTAAGTCCTTCAACTGGTGGGTAGTAGAGACCAGATGTAGGAAATTCTAGGTATCTTTGGATACTTTAATTACTGGGGAAGTCGCCAGTTCTCTATTACAAAAGGCAGAGCAGAAATCCATCCGCAACATGTGACCCTCACAGGTCTGACTCACATCCATCAGACACTGGCTTCCTGCTGCCCAGAGAGGAGTCTCTCACTGGTCATCAAGGTGTGACATAAGTAAATATCCAAGATCAATCAACAAATAAACAAAAACAATCTTCCTCTAATATTCTATAACTCAGTTAAAGACACTATTTTCTATATCCTTCAAGTTGAAAATCTAGAAATTATTTTAAACTCTTTCCTTCCTTTTCTCTTTTTTCCTAACCTACTTCAAATTAGTCACTAAGTCCTTCCAATTTCATCTCTATTACATATCCTGTTGAAGTCCCTTTATCATCATCCCACTTCCACGGCTGTAATTCAGGCAATCATCACACTGTATCTGGACATTTGCTATAGTTACCTAACCCATCTTTTTGCCCTGAGTCTTGCTTTCTTTGAATCTTTTATCTGTTCTCCTGCTAAACAGATCACATCAGTCGTCTCTCTACAAAATAAAGTGCATGCCAAAATATGATATATTACATATAAAGCCCCAAACAATCTGGCCTCTACCTATATCCCCAGTCTTATCTCACTGAACACCCCCCTCACTGAACACCCAAGTACAGATCACGATGAAACATCTCCAGTGCTCCAAAATCCCAAGCCTTTTCACACCTCTGTGCCTTTGTTCATGCTGCCTTCTCCATCTACAATGTCTTTTCTTCTCTTCCTGGTGAAAATTGTTCTCAGTTTTCAGAATGTTCTTCATGGATGCAACTGTCTCTATGAAATTGCGTTAATACTCTTTGCTCCCATTGCAGGGCCCCAAATGTATTCCACACACAATTCAATCAAAGCACTGAAACACTTTATTATATTTATATAATATATATTACATATTTATCACCTCCATATTAGATTATTAGAGAATTCAAAAAATGATACACCTTCTTTATCCCCGGCACCTTGCACAGTGCTGAACACAGAGTAAGCACTCAGAAAACACGAGCTAAATATGTTAATGAACGAGGGGATGAAGAATATTAATACTGTTCACTGCCTCAGAACCATGTTGAGTGCACTGAAGTGGAACAGAATAAACATGGCACCAACTTTATACATGGTGAGTAATTTAAAACATTTCAAATTAAAATAAGCAAGAACTTATGAATCATAGTGTAAATGTTGCATTAATTTTTAAGGTTAAGTGTTCAAAGAAAGTTTGAACACAATTTGAGTTGTTGGGCTAAGGCCCAGACTTCCCTAGGGCAAACCAAGTTAGAGTGCGTGTCTCCACCACGAAGGGTACTTTGGTGGAAAAGTCTCCAAAGTAACATTAAAGTATTGTATTTGTTTTAAATAATAATATGGCACTAACTATGTAGATATTATTAGCTAGGAGGCAAGGAGACTGCATAAAAGGTGTGTATGGCAGCTATGGTCTGAAGGCTGGTGCTCCCCCAAAACTCGTATGTTGGGGAGGACATCAGCAATGTGATAGTATTATGAGGGGGGACTTTGAGAATTGATTAAGTCATAAGAGCTCCGCTGTCATGGACAGGACTAATGTCCTTGTAAAAGAGGGCCAAACAAGCTCACTTGTCCCTTTCCACCATGTGAAGACTCAGCAAGAAGGGGCCACCTTTTAAACAGTAAGTCCTCACTAGACACTGAGTCTCCTGATACCTTGGATTTTTTAACCTCAAGAACTGTATACTATAAATTTCTACTATTTAGAAATTACTCATTTTAAGGTAATTGGTTATACCTGCCTGAACACACTAAAACAATCTCTTAAACCAACACTATAGCAAGGTGTAGATTTATATGTAAAATAGATTCTGAGATAATTCTTTACCAAAAACAACAACAAAAAGTTCAACATAGAATTCTTTCAAATATCAAATTCTTCTATGGCAGTTAAAATCATAAACATATGATTCCCTCAACTTGCCATAAATATTAAATTCTTATATCCCTGGATTTCAAATCAAGTTTGGAGTTAGTGATAGCAATTTAGAGGTAAGACCCAAGTTTGTACTATGAACTTCAGCTTTCATCTGCACTAGTCCTTGTAAGATACAGATAATTGTCAGATAAACTAGGGAGGTAGTTGAACTCTAATGTTTCTTTAAATCCTGAGTTGTGATAGAGATTAGGTAAATCTTGGAAATAGTTGACTACACTTTCACATTGCAAAATACTTTTAAGCAAAGATTATCATGGTTCATCTACTACTGAAATTAAGTTTCTCTTTTTCCTAAAGGAAGAAATGGTCAAAACAAGTTTATCTATAGTCAGCCAACTATAAATTCTCTTCCAGCCACATAGAATCCATTTAGAGACAAATTTGTATGTGAGTGTATGTGTACATATGTATATGTCAGTATATGTATATCTAGCAAATAACTTTGCTGCTTTAGGAGACTTGTTGATTCACTAGTAAATAACTACATGGCTACAAAAGTTAGAAAACAAAAGCAATCCAAAAAGAGAGGGTGGAGGCAGCTGAAAATTTATAAGTTGCTCAAAGACTATCTTGGGTCAATGCAAGAGGAAAATCTGAGAACATTTTCTTAAAAAAATAAAATAAAAGGAAACAGAGCATGCAACTTCAGACCTCAACTTGTGCCTAATCTCTTTGTGTGGGATTTTTTCATTCCAACATGTACCTCCCAGGACAAACACAACAGCAATTCCTAAATCATGTTCATCTTCTGAGAATAGCACATAATAAACTCAGCCTTCCTTAAGGAGATATGTGGGTCAGGGCAAAACACACTGTGTATCTCCCATTCTGCAAATCCAAAGTGTTTATTCAGATAATATCTAATGAAAACAAATACTAATGGCCACCTTACTGGAGAAAAGCAAGGATGTCGATACTGTTATAAAGAACATGTGGCCTACGGAATATGAAAGAGGAAGGGGAGTCTCATAACTAGGTGAGCATGGTGTGGGTTTTATGTACAGTTCATTTTCTTTTTTTAACACTGGGTGGTAGGCACCACCCCCTTTGCCATACTACCATTACCTCACTGAGAATTTCAGGTGCCTGGTTCTCAGCACTTCAACATATCAGCCCAACAGATGGCCCCTGCAACAGCAACATCAGAAACTGTTTTCATGGCAAATTACACATATGTTTTCTGAAGGACATCTTAGATTTCTATTCCGATTCCATTCTACATCTTTGGGAGTGAAATGCATTATAATCTGAGTAGACAATGTTGTCTTTGAAACAGATATTCAAACATCTAGAACATCAATCTTTAATGTATTCACTTACCCTTTAAAAAAATTTTTTTACATGCATTTCAAAGTAATTTCAGAGTCAAAAGAAGGGAGACATTATTACTAGTATGCCATACCTTAAAAGACAAAGAACAGATAGAAACTCCATCCCCAGCAGCTACGTGTTTATAGCCGCCTTCTGTAGTCTTCGGAAACTCTCTCCATGTGGTATGTATTTGAAGCTGTAAGGCTCAAGTGCTCAGGAAAGCAGTGAAATGACTTGTTATTCTGTGAAAAGAAAAGAGGTGTTTCTCTGGGACCACCACTACACCTGCTATGCTTTACTGAAATTCAACCCCCACATCGCTCAACTACTTACACCTGGGAGCTGGCTAGCAAAAACATGGTTGGGTCGGGTGTGAGGGTAGCATTCAAATACATCCATCTTGGTTCCTGTGTAAATAACTGTTGCAAACATCTATGGTTTTCTGTGTATAACTTAATTTGGGTTTAACTATAGTGGAGATATACAAATACTTGTGTTTTGATACACACATGCACACACACACACACACAATTTTTTTAAAAGGTATTTGGCAAGGCATTTTGTTTTTAACATTCATGAAATGCAGCCTAACAGTGTTCTTATTGTAGTCCTGCCCAAAAGTGATCACTTTTCTGTACTTTTCCTATGACAAATTTATTTTCCCTATATGCTTTTGTTGGCTAGCAGCTTTGGCATGACCTGACTGACAATGAGCCAGAAGATCTGAGTTTGGGGAAAATGCATGGCTCTCAAACTCTGGCACAGTGGTGGATAAGAGCTGAGCAAATGCCACACATTCAGAGAGAGCCCTGTGCGCTGGCTCATCAGCTCACCAAAGGACACCATAGATGAAAATGATGCACCCCACAACCTCTAAGACAGAAATGCAGTAAAAGATAGATATATATAGCTTTTCAATATTAAAACAATTACACAATTGCCAGAGCCTCAGTTAGCTTAATTAGCTAAATGATGGGTTGTAAGTTACAGGTTTTAGTTCACATAATTATTGCCCTAAACAGAACTTAAGAAAGTCCCCTCCAATGACTTACCTTTTCTTCATGAAGTATAAAAGAAGGCTATCAGCTCAGAGGGAGGATGGAAAGTGGCATAGTTGAAAGAGATCATCCCACTAAACCATGAATTAGAAAGGTATTTTAACAGCAAATTATTCAATAAAAAAAAAAGAACATATGTGTATGTGCAGTGGCAATCTGAGTACGGTATCAAAATTCAAAATGGATTTTTTCATGTAATACTCTAGGACAGGGGTGTCTAACCTGTGGCCCGTGGGCCACATGCTGATATTGTGAAGCCTTTTTCTGCTTATCTGTAGTGTTGGACATCATGGTAAGTATGCAAGGACCATCTTTTTGCTAATCAGCTTTCATTAATGTTTGTGTATTTACATACACTGTGGCACAAGACAACTCTTATTCTTCCATGTGCCTCAGACAAGAAAAAAGGTTGGACACGTCTGCCTAGGACAGGAGTTACTTTTTGTGCATTACTTATGATACTTTAACCATAAGTAATGCACAAAAGATTTAAGCACATTTTTATTGAATAATTTGCTGTTAAAATACCTTTATACTTGATACTTTAATCATAAGTAATGCACAAAAGACTTAAGCACTATATACTAGGTAATATCAAGGTGTATTAGTTCATACCTAGAAAAGATATCCAAAGACTTTCCAGTTCAAATGATAAAAAGCATGCAAGAGTAAGCACATATACACACAAAAATTTTTTAATTCCTACTCTAGCAAAAAGTCATCTCCATCAGAATTTGAGTAGCTTAATTCAATAACCAAATGGATCCAACATCTAGCATGTGATTAAGCCTATCACTAAACAAAGAAGACAATGATTTAGAAAACTTTTCTGATCACAAATGTTAAAAGCTAAAAGTCTTCCCCAGAAAAACATACATACATACCTGATTTTATGCACATGTTCCATAAAATCTATTATATCAGGTAGCTACTGCCGTATAACAAACCACCCCAAATGCTATGGCTTAAAACAACACTATTCACCTCAAGATTTGGGAGAGGGGACAAAAATTTAGGCTGGACCCAGCTGGACAGTTCTTCTAGGCCTGTATGAGTTCCCCTATACTTGGGTAGTGAGCCTTAGGTCAAGTATTTAGATCTGCTTCTGGGTGTTGGCGCTGGAGGCTAGGACATCTTGGATTGATTCTGTGTAGTTTTTAATTCTCAAGCAAGTTGCCCAGATTTATTCTCATGGTGAAAAATGGTGCCTGGCCTCTTGAGGCCTAATACCAGAATTAGTGACATGGCCTCATTATTTTTATCCCAGCAAGTCACAAGGCCAGCCCAGATTCAAAGGACCAGGAAAGACTATCACCATTATATAGGTGTTATCAAATCATATTGCAAAGGGCATAATTACAGGGAGGGATAAAGAACTAGGACTAGTTTTTCAATCAATTTTTCATACTTAAGTTAATAATTTTCTGCAATGAAAGTGAAATAATGGGGCCAGGAGAGGTGACTCATGCCTGTAATCCTAGAATTCTCGGGGGCTGTGGAAGAGGATCCCTTGAGCTGAGGAGTTCAAGACAAGCCTGAACAAGAATGAGACACCGTCTCTACTAAAAATATAAAAATTAGCCAGGTGTCATGGCCGGTACCTATAGTCCCAGCTACTTGAGAGGCTGAGGTAGGAGGATTGCTTGAGCCCAGAATTTTGAAGCTGATGTCATGGCACCCTAGCCTGAGGCAATAGAGTAAGACTGTTTCAAAAAAAAAAAAAAAGTGAAGTAATGGGTTTTTATTGTGACATACAAGTTCAGGAATCAATAGTTGTTTGCATTCCAGAAAATGTCCTTGTGCGGTCAAGTCCAGAGCCAATAGAACACCTTCTCCCTAGCAACAAGAAGGAAATGTTCAATATTTTCTTTTCTAAAAGATTAAAAATGGCAGAAGATAAATATACCCCATAGAACTTAAAGTTCTCACTTTGTTACTAAATAAGACTTCATGGATTGTACATATATTTGGTCGGGTGAATGTTAGAAATTTTGATGGTGTAGTGAAGAAAGTGATACTGGATATTCTAAATGTCTGTGTCAGTTTTCATATACAACTCTATAGAAGTGGTATAGAATGTGAAGACTTCTCATGTGGTTGATTCTTTCACTATCTTAAAATTTCCCAAAAAACCAGAATCCTAGAATGTGCCATTTCCATAAAGCATAAGAAAACTTCAGGACAACAAAAAGTCCAAATAGGAAATATTGAGCACATGATGTATCCTGATGTATAATGATTGACTCAGTGATTGCAGCAACAGCATCAAAGCTCTGCTGTCAATGGATTTGAGTATGGTCATGGTTTCTTTCCCTGAAAAGAACAGCAAAAAAAATTAACTGAAATTAACTGTAGAAAATTCAGTAAATAATTGGTTACAGTTGACAGAATTTAGGCAAAATGTAAGCCTTTTCCAGTGCATTTAGTTCACATCAAGTCTGACTGTGCCTTTGCCAAAGGGTATACATGTCTAGTTAAAAGAAATTTTCTTTGATACTCTGATACTATAATTCTTCTTATATGGCTTTGGTTTTTAATTATAAGAGAATTAATGTAATAGATGAATTCATATGAAGAATCCTCCATCTCATCCCAACTCCCTCTCTACAGTCACTATTAGCTTTCCTATTGCTGCTGTAACAAATTGCCCCAAAAGTAGTGGCTAAAAAAAACCTCAAGACTTATTTTGTTAAATAAGTCACACTAGGCTATGTCTTGGTGTCAACAGGCTGCGTAGCTTTCTGGAGGCTCCCAAGGAACTCTGTTTATCATCTTTTCCAGATCCTATAGGCTGCCTGCATTTCTTGGCTTGTGGCCCCATCTTCAAAGCCAGCAATGGCTGGTCAAGTCTCTCTCACTTCACACCACTTTGACCCAGATTCTTCTTCTGTCTTCCACTTCTACTTTTACATTGGTACCACCCAGATAATCCTTCATAACCTCCCTATTTTAACTTCAGATGATTAAAAATCTTGATTCTGTTTCTGGCTTCAATTTCTCTTTGCCATGCGACAACATGTTCACAGTTTCTAGTGGTTTGGACATGGACATCTTTGATAACCATAATTCTGCCTACCACTAATCCAAGCCCATCTTACCTTTTTTCTCAGGCTACCTTAGATATTGATGCCTAATGCTAGGAACCTATTCTTCCCAAAGGAGGCTTTGTAGTACATGCTTATAATATTAACCAAAGGTTCTTTATGAAGGCAAATGGCATCTTCCCAATACAAATTCTAGAAATATCAACCATATCATCCTTGAAATGTAGAAGAATGTATCATAGTTTTATCAACAATAAGGAGGGTCACTTGGGCCAGATGTGTTGGCTCACACCTGTAATCCTAGCACTCTGGGAGGGTGAAGCAGTAAGATTACTTGAGGCCAGAAGTTTGAGACCATCCTCAGCAAGAATGAGACTCTGTCCCTACCAAAAAAAAAAAAAAAAAAAAAAAAAAAGAAAAATTAGCTGGACATGCTAGTGTGTGCCAGTCGCCCCAGCTAATCAGGAGGCTGAGGGAGGAGAATTGCTTGAGCCCAGGATTTTGAGTTTGCAATAAGCTGTGCTGACACTATTGCGTTCTAGCCAAAGTGACAGAATAAAACCTATCCCCCCCAAAACAAACAAACAAACAAAAAACCACAGGGTATCACTTGGAAAAGCACAGTTGGGATATTTTTATATATTCTCAATGAACTTACACCAAGAGACAATTAAATGCATCATGCTTAAGTTTTGGTAGGTTCCTTGCTTTGCTATAAACCCTCTGCAAGTCTAGTGCTTATTTTAATCCTTTTTCCTTATTTGCAAAGTGTATGATAATAATTGTGGCCTACTTCGAAGTAATGATCAATATCAGTATCTTGAGTTAATTTTTTTAATTACAGAATAAAGATGAGCAAGATAAATCTTTGCTGTCAACTTATAATAAATTGGTACAAAAATAATTCTGCCCATCTGCAAACAGATAAAAGGATTATTTAAATCCTGAGAGAACAGTGAACATGGTCTAGTCAAGTGTATACAAAAATATGGCAGGATGAAGGTAGGCTATCTAAAGCCCTAGGAAATGAAATAATCAATTAGAAAATAAGAAATGAGGGAAGAAAAAAGACCAAGGAGAAAGAAGAGGATAGGTAATTCAAGTAAGTGGGAGATATCATTAATTTCTTTGGGAGTTAAATAGTGGTTAAATAGCTATTGTTTTCTTTTTTACTAGACAGAATTTAAAATATTTTTACAAAATAGCACAATATTTGAAAGCATAAGCATAAATTAATGCTGATTTGGAAATATGGTCTTATATAAGGCTATAGCTCTTTTGCTATGATATTCCAGTAAAAAGCAATTTATATCTGCATTAAGAAATATTCTCTCAGTGATGATGCAGCAATGTGTAGCTATTCCTCTTACCAGCAGAAATTTAGGATGAAGAAATAGTCATGAGGTATTCGTTAGCACACTATGAATACAGTTAATGGGCACCAAGTACATTCATATAAATCAAAGTGGCTACTATTGGACTCATTTGGAAAGAAGATCTCATATGACACTGAAAACAGAACTGTATCTACACTTTCCCATCCAGCAATTACGCACTGTCATAGGATTAGGGAGCAGTGAATTATATTTTCCCCTCCTCAAGTTAGTTCTGATCAAAGAGGAGAGAATTTTCCACCCAAACTAATCCATTAGATATCCTCCCATCATGCCTTCCTCCATTCACATTTTTCCTCCAGACTAATTCCTGCTAAATTTAATGGTGAATTTATACATCTCTATCTGAGAAGCATTCCTTGGTATATCCCCTCCTATGTATTCCTGTAGTATAGTAATCTCCTTTATCACTACACTTGGCACATAGTATTATAAATACCTATTCTTCTCCACCCCACCCCCAAATAAGTTTTCCTGCTACTTCAAGGCAGTATTTCTCTTTTTCATCATTGTACTCTCAATGTCTGACACACAGTGATCAATAATAGTTAACTGAATAAATAGATGGACAATAAATAAATGAAGGAAGAATGGGAGGAATGAAAGAAGTCGGGAGAAAAGATGCTTAACAACGCTTATTAAAGCCCAACCACAAAATTTTTGTAAGAGGTACCACTTCTCACCATCCATCATCTATAAAAAGTGCATTTATTGACAGAGCCTGGCCATTCTCAACATACTCCACTATTCCATTGTTACAGAATAGCATATCTAGAGCTTCTTATATAGTTCAAGAATGGTTTCACTCAATCACCAGTAAGCAACCAATATGACTACATAAAGAAGAAACTTTGACTGAATTAATTTGCTTCTACTAAAGAGATATGGGTAAAAAGTCATGTAATTTCTCCTGATTTCTGTAAGCCTGTTTGATCATCTCACAAAACAATGCTAAAGACATGAGAATAGCAGGTTTTAGGCCAAGCTGTGTTTCACAGAGATTAACCAAAAATACACATATTTCTCATCTTTACTAGTGTTCAGAATAAAGGAATTAAAATATCAAGTTCACTAAGCACATTAAATGGTCAGTTCTTGTCCTCTGTCTTGTAAGACAGAATGAATTCCAAATGACTTTAATAAAATAGGCAAATTTTCTATAAAATGAGATTAAAAGGAGAAGACAAAAATGTGTATTATCTAGAAACCAAAATAAATAATTTAGATACAGAATAAAATACCACTGTTAGATAACCCTTAATTACTAAAGAAAACAACTGGAAACCAAGAGGCTGGACTAGATTTGACCAGGAGCCAAATGCCCTAGGTCAGTGGTTCTCTATTAGGGACTATTTTGGTCCACAGGGCATATTTGGCAATTTCTGGAAGCAATTTTGTGTGTCACAATTGGGAAGGTGCCATTGGCATCTGGTGGATAGAAGCCACAGAACTGCTAAATATTCTGCACACAGCAAAATTCCCCACAACAAAGAATTACCTGGTTCCAATTTTCAATAGTGCTTAGGTTGAGGAAAAAACAAATAAAATATTATGTAATACAGGAATCTATTAAAATAAATGATAATAGGCATTTAAAGTATCCCTTCAACCATATTCCGTCCAAAATCCCTATTAGAATATTGTGTCCCATTTAGGGTATCACCCTTTAGAATGTATAGATTGCCCAGGCATGATGGCTTACAACTTCATCCTACCACTCTGAGAAGCCAAGGCAGATTGATTGCTTGAGCTCAGGAGTTCAACACCAGCCTGAGCAAAAGCAAGACCTCAACTCTATTAAAAGCTAGCCAGCATTATGGCAGTACCTATAGTCCAGCTACTGTGGCACTGCCTAAGACAGAAGGATCACTTGAACCCAGAAGTTTGAGTTGCTGTGAGCTATGACACCATAGCACTATAGCTTGGGGCAACAGAGTGAGACTCGGTCAAAAAAAAAAAAAAATTGGACTTCATCAAAATAAAAAAATTATCATAAAAAAAGAAGAAAAGGCTCGACGCCTGTGGCTCAGGTGGCTAAGGTGCCAGCCACATACACCTAAGGTGGCAGGTTCGAATCCAGCCCGAGCCGTCAAACAACAATGACAGCTGCAACCAAAAAATAGCCGGGCATTGTGGCGGGCATCTGTGGTCCCAGCTACTTGGGAGGCTGAGTCAGGAGACTCGCTTGAGCCCAGGAGTTGGAGGTTGCTGTGAGCTGTGATGCCACGGCACTCTACCCAGGGGGACAGCTTGAGGCTCTATCTCAAAAAAAAAAAAAAAAAAAGAAGAAAAAACCAAATATATAGATTGATTGGCTCCAAGATGGTGGCCTAGAGATATCTCCTCACCAGCCACTCTCAGACACTCCAACAGCCAAGCACAGAGATTAGGAAAATTA